TCTCTTCTTGATGAATTTCCATCCTTTTTTTCTTGTCCTGCCCTCTGGTGCTTTGGTAAATAAGTTGACTCCCCCTCTTCTTTGTGGCAGCCCCTCAAATATTGGAAGACTGCTATCATGTCACCTCTAGTCCTTCTTTTCATTAAACAAGACATACCCAATTCCAGCAACTGTTCTTCTTATGTTTTAGCCTCCAGTCCCCTAATCATCTTTGTTGCTCTCCTCTGCATTTTTTCTAAAGTCTCAACAATTTATCAGATTACTGAATAACTTCTGCCATTATAAAAAATATCTTAGTTCATTAAAGACGGTGCCATAGATATGGAGCAAAGCATCATTAATATCAGTGAAACCATTAATGTCTAGCTTTATTTATAACTATTGATAATTCTCATTTGCTATCGTTCCTTAGTATCACAAGCTGACATCTGGTAAAAGTAGAGATTTTGGTTTGATTTCCTGCAACCAGAATTACAGGAAATTATCAGGGGGTTTATCATTTGAGAATGTGAACAGAACCTTATGTGAGAAAAAGACTCTTCCATTAAAAAAAAAATCTTATTTAGAGAAATGTAGCATTTCAGAGGGAAGGGCTGGCTTTGGAAGCTGACTGGTTTTTATTCTTCAGAAGTGTTTACAACTGCAGCGGGCAGTTGTAAAAGAATGGCACTTTTACAAAAAGAAAATGTTGGAAGTCAATCAATCAGAATCGAGCTCGAAGGGACCTTGGAGGTCTTCTAGTCCAACCCCTGCTCAAGAAGGAAGCCCTACACCATTCCAGACAAGTGATTGTCCAGTCTCTTCTTTAAAATCTCCAGTAATGGAGCACCCACAACTTCTGGAGGCAAGTTGTTCCACTGATTAATTGTCCTCACTGTGGTGGGTTTCCAAGGAACTGTGATGATTCTTCACCCTCAGAATCAGAATCAGAGAGCTGGAAGGGGCCTTGGAGGTCTTCTAGTCCAACCCTCTGCTCAATCAGGAGACCCTCTACCATTTTAGACAAGTGGCTGTCCAGTCTCTTAAAAACCTCCAGTGATGAAGCATCCACAACCTCTGAAGGCCCAATTCTGTTCCATTGGTTAATTGTTCTCACTGGTTGCGTCTCTCCTTGATGAGTTTCCATCCATTGCTTCTTGTCCTGTCCTCTGGTGCTTTGGAAAATAAGTTGACCCCCTCTTCTTTGGGGCAGCCCCTCAAATACTGGAAGACTGCTATCATGTCCCCCCTAGTCCTTCTTTTCACTATTCTAGCCATACCCAATTCCTGTAACTGTTCTTCATATACAGAAGATGTTTTAGCCTCCAGGCCTTTAATCATCCTAGTTGCTCTTCTTTGCACTTTTTCCGAAGTCTCAACATCAAAGTCTGAACAAGAAGACTCCAAAACTCAACCCAAAGAGACAAATGAAATCTATGAATTGTGAAGGAACATGGGAGACAAGGGCATAGGAGATCTTCGTAGATCATCCCTCATAACCAATGGGGCCAATACAGATGGAAGAGTTGAAAGTCAACTGGCCAAGAAGGCAGTCAGTAGCTTCAGAGTATTTGCCATAATCTAAAGGAGATTTTCTATCCTTGCAAAGAATATAGAGGAGAGGACAATAATAACCAGAGAATAATGGTTGGAAGGCACCTTGGAGGTCTTCTAGTCCAATGTTCTAGTTATCAAATTCGACATGATTTCTGGCACATCCTGTTGTTGGCAATTAAATCCTGCCAAGAGTTAACTCCCTACTGCTTAAGCCATCTATGAAAGTCGTGTTATTTTTAAAAGCAATTTCTTTGCCCTCCTTCCTGCAAACCCTTTGGAGAATGTCAACATGCTCTCCAACTAGATGCTGTAGGAGAAGAGATTAGAGGAGCAGAAGAACCCATATTGGAAAGGAGATAAACATGTCTTCCAACCCCTTCCTACCTGCTTTGTTTTGTGACCTCCAGGGAAGGGCTTAGAATGAAGCCGTTGGCCGCATGTTGAGTCTTTGCCCAGCCTTCTCCCATAGGTGGAATTCTTCTATATTTTTGTTCTTCTCCTGGATCTTTTGACTTCACAGAACGGAATAACAGAATGAGTTGGAAGGGACCTTGGAGGTCTTCTAGTCCAACCCCCTGCTCAGGCAGGAAACCCTATAGCAGTGATGGTGAACCTTCTTAGCACCGAGTGCCAAAAAGGGAGCACGTGCGCGTCTGGGCCGCAACCTGGAAGAGGAACTGCACGCGCCCAAAAATGAACTTCCGGTTTCAGCCAGCTCCTCTTCCGGGTTTCTGGCACACATGCGCATGCGATGATCTTCTAGTTTCCAGCACTGCCACATGCAAAAAGGCCAGCTGATCATCGCAAGCGCATGCGTGCCAGAAACCCTAAAGAGGAACGGTTGATACCATGGATGCCAGGCAACATGGCTCCGGGTGTCACTTTGGGCATGCGTGCCATAGGTTCGCCATCACAACTCTATAGCATTTCAGACAAATGGGTGTCTAAAGTTTTCTTTAAAACCTCCAGTGTTGGAGCATTCACAACTTCTGGAGGCAAGTTGTTCCACTGATTAATTGTTCTCACTGACAGGAAATTTCTCCTTTAAAAAAATATATATATATATATATATTATTTATTTTTTCAAGCATATATAAGATAACAGGTAAAAGTATAAACATAATTTGAATACGTGAAAAGAGTAAGAGTAAAAAGGAATATTAGGACAGGGATGGAAGGCACGCTGGTGCTCTTATGCACGCCCCTCTTAGGAATGGGGTGAGGTCAACAGTAGACAGTTTAAGGTTAAAGTTTTGGGGGTTTGGGGAAGAGACCACAGAGTCAGGTAATGCATTCCAGGCATTGACTATTCTGTTGCTGAAGTCGTATTTTCTGCAATCGAGTTTGGAGTGGTTTACCTTGAGTTTGTATCTATTATTTGCTCTTGTATTGTTGTAGTTGAAGCTGAAGTAGTCATTGACAGGTAGGACGTTGTGGCAGATAATTTTATGTACTATGCTTAGGTCAGACTGAAGTCGGCGTAGTTCCAGGTTGCTTCTCTCCTTGATTATTTTCCATCCTTTGCTTCTTGTCCTGCCTTCAGGTGCTTTGGAGGATAGGTTGACCCCCCTCCTCTTTGTGGCAGCCCCTCAAATATTGGAAGACTGCTATCAATCACTCCTATTCCTTCTTTCCATTAAACTAAACATATCCAATTCCAGCAACCGTTCTTTATATGTTTTAGCTTCCAGTTCTATCTGGTTTTTCAGCTGGCTTCTCTACACTGGCCAAACAAGGTTTCATTCTAGAATAATCCAATTATTATTCATATTATTTTATTTTATTATTCATATTTCTATCCCGCCCATTCTCCGAGGACTCTGGGCAGCTTACACCAAAGACAGTATGCTAAATAGCTCCGAGTCTTCGGAGAAAGGCAGCATACAAGTTGAACAAATTAAATAAATAAATAAATATTGCCCCCAACAATCTGGGTCCTCATTTTTCCCACCTCGGAAGGATGGAAGGCTGAGTCAACCTTGAGCCAGTGAGATTTGATCCGCTGATCTGCTGAACTAGAAGTAGCTGCAGTAATGCACTCTAACCACTGCCCCACCTTGGCAATTGACACCTTGCTTGTCAATTGACAAACAGACAAACAGATATTTGAGAAATAACAAGGCCAGTCCTCTGAATTCCTACAGAGAGAAACATGTCGTCATATTTTCGGAAGATCTCTAGGATTCAGAGAACTGTCCTTGTTATTTCTCAAATTTGGTAATAATTATGTAGGGCAACCAGATCCTTCTGCAGAGTTTTCGGAGGCAGCCTTAGCTCTTTGCTGTCCTCTAGTGCCGATTTGAATTTGGGTAACCCAGTTCTGGTAGCTGGAGAGGGTATTTTCCAGTAAAATAGGCCATTTGATCTTTGTAATCAAAGGAATAACGTTTGGTCTGCATTTTAATCCAGGAAGAGTATTGGATGGCATTTGGTCTGGGGATTCAAACCGAGGGATGTGTGTCATTTAAATCTGTTTACTATTTTGTTTTGTTTTGTTTTGTTTTCTCAGTCATAAGATGGAACTGTAGCTGTGTAGCCAGAAAAACGAGGGTTTGGGACACAGATGAATTTTGCTTACAAATAGCCCCAATTCACAGTGCTCCAAAAGATCTATATTAGATGTATAGAGTTATATCTATATTAGATGGCAGCTATCGGTCTATCATCTTCCCTAATTATCATCCTTTTATTAAGTCTCTCTCTCTCTCTCTCTCTCTCTCATCCCTTATCAACTATCATCTGTGTCTGTCAATCTATCATCCTCTCTCTCTCTCTCTCTATCATCTATTGCCTGTCTATCATCTCTATCTATCTATATTTGGCTCCTGGGACACAGCAAGTCCCATTGTGATGCTGATGAGCCCCATCGACAGCAAAGCTGATAAGAAATGGATCGCTCATTGACTGCAGAAGAGAGACAGTCTATCTCTCTCTCTGTGTGTGTCTGTCTCTCTGTGTTTCTCTCTGTTTCTGTATCTCTTTCTCTCTGTACCTCTCTGTCTTTCTTTGTCTCTGTCTGTCTGTCCATCTGTCTGTCTGTCTCTCTACCTACCATCCATCCATCCACTATCCATCCATCCATCTATCTATCATCTCATTTCTGTCTCTCTCTGTCCCTCTCTCTTTCTTTGTATCTATGTATCTATCTATGTATCTATTTATCTATCAATCATCTATCATCTATCTGTCTATCATCTCATTTCTGTCTCTCTCTGTCCCTCTTTCTTTGTATCTATCTGTATCCATCTATCTATGTATCTATCTATTTATCTATCTATCATCTATCATCTGTTTGTCTATCATCTCACTTTTGTCTCTCTCTGCCCCTCTTTCTTTGTATGTATGTATGTATGTATGTATGTATGTATGTATGTATCTATCTATCTATCTATCTATCTATCTATCTATCTATCTATGTATCCATCTATCATCTCACTTCTGTCTCTATCTCTCTGTCCCTCTCTGTCTGTCTTTCTTTCTTTCTTTTTCTCTCCCTCCCTCTCTATCATCTATCTATCATCTATCTATCCATCATCTTTTTAATCATCTGTCATCTGTGTCTGTTTGTCAGTCTATTATCTTATCCATCCACCCATCCATCCATATATAGCTATATAGCTATCTCCTCTTGTTATAATCCCCATATCATCTCTCTATCATTCTCTCTCTCTCTCTCTCTCTTATTTGTTGCGACAGAAAAAAATGGCCAATTAGCTCTAGCACGATGCCTACAAATTACCTCAGCAACGTAGCACACTGTTTGCCCATGTCTATTCATCATTTGATACCCCGATTCTGCCAATATTCTCAAAAGGAGGAGAGTTTGGGAGAAGCACCCAAAAGGGATTAATTGACCTACTTAGCTAACCCGAAAGAGGTTCTATTTAACCCTAAATAGACCCAATGGTGCCCATCCTAACTAAACTTTGCCTGATCACTCAGTTAACTCAGTTTGACTCCAGAGTCTTCCAAGAAAAAGAACTGGAGAGAATGAATGAAAAAAAAAAAAACCAAGCTTTTCCAATATGTGACATATTGAGCTGAGGAGTTAAAGAATGGACAATCCATTCCTCTTCTGATAAATACAGATTTATCACATGCGCCATGCAACCCCACTTTTAAGGCAGTTGCTAGGAGAAAAGCAAAGGTTTTAATGGGCAGATTTATGCCACTAGGAACAAAATGAATAAACCAGTCTCCAAGTTTACAGCTAGTCAAGAATTGCTTCAGGCATTAAGCCAAATTCAGAGCTCCCTCCCTCCCCCTCTCTCTCCACTTTTTCTCTCTGTATGTTTGTGTTGTGTGTGTGTGTGTGTGTGTGTGTGTGTGTATGTTGCTAGGTTATTAGTCAACACAACAGGCAATATCATGAAGATTCTTGCAAGACAGTGGATCTAATATTAATATCTGTCTGGTAAAGAAGAAGCATTTTTTGCAAAAGCTGGGGGTAAGTCAATAATGAACGGATTGGATTTCATATTGAATCTTTCAAACCCAGCTGGGTGGAAGAAATTGACTAGATATTTGCAAGTCAATGCCTCCTTTCCTGCATCCTTCAGCTCCTGTATATTTTAGCCTCAGCTGTCAGAGGACAAAGTGTTTGAATTGCCGAGAGAAAGCGTTAGGTTTGCTTTGGCTCCAAATAAAAATAAATGTATTTGGTGCATATAACTATAATTTATTCTTATTTTCCAAGTTTCCTTCTGGAGTATTTGTTTTAGCCTCACAGCCAGCCTGTAAGAGAGATTAAACAGTGATAGGAATTAACCCAAGGTTATCTAACTAATCAAGGAGAGAAGCAACTTAGAACTAAGGAGAAATTTCCTGACTGTGAGAACAATTAACCAGTGGAACAACTTGCCTCATGAAGTTGTGAATTCTCCAAAAATTGGAAGTTTTAAAGAAGAGATTGGACAACCATTTGTGTGAAATGGTATAAGGTTTCCTGCCTGAGCAGGGGGTTGGACTAGAAGACCTCCAAGGTCCCTTCCATCTCTGTTATTCTCTTCTCTTCTCTTCTCTTCTCTTCTCTTCTCTTCTCTTCTCTTCTCTTCTCTTCTCTTCTCTTCTCTTCTTTTTTGAATTTTGAGGACAAATCAGAATTTAGGTAGCTCTATTCTCAGCATAACACAGTTGGAAGGGACCTTGGAGGTCTTCTAGTCCAACCCCCTGCTGAAGCATGAAACTCTATTCCACTTCAGACAAATGGTTGTCCAATCACTTCTTTAAAACCTCCACTGATGAAGCCCCTACAATCTCCGGAGGCACAATCACCGTGGTGCTTTTTCAGAACTCGGACCAAACTTATAAGCATCTTCCTATGATTTATGTTCTTTAAGATTATAAAGACAGTCATTCTTCTAATTGATATTTTTTGAAAACTTCCGTGTGATATCTGCAATAATGGCGACAAAGACCGCACAAAGAATATTTTTCTACCAAAACAAGTTATGGTGCTCTTTCTTGCTTGCTTCTCTAAAATCTAAAAATAGGCATCCAAAAGCAGATTTTTAAATACATCTGCAGAGATGCAAACCATCTTAAACTGCATGAAGCTAAATCATTCTCAATATGTATATTGAGAGAAGACGATTGTTTGGCTTCTGTTTGAGATGTATATATTATTAAGTGCTTCAATCTGCGGAATATAACTATAATTTGTTCTTTTTTTTTTCCAAGTTTCCTTCTGGAGTATTTGTTTTAGCCTCACAGCCAGCCTGTAAGAGAGATTAAACAGTGATGGGAATTATTATTATTATTATTATTATTATTATTATTATTATTATTATTATTATTATTATTATTGGACTTATATGCCGCCCTTTCTCCACAAGGACTCAGGGCGGCTCACAGCAATAAAAAACAAGTCCAATTAAAATTCAACAATAAAAACTAAAATTCCCATTAAAACCCCATTCAGTCCAGGCCCGCTTGGCGAAACAGCCAAGCTGGCCAAGGTTATCTAACTAATCAAGGAGAGAAGCAACCTAGAACTAAGGAGAAATTTTCTGACAGTGAGAACAATTAACCAGTGGAACAACTTGCCTCATGAAGTTGTGAATTTGCACGTGATGTTCAAATTAGACATCTATTGTAGGAGAAGAGCGAGGATTGGCCTGGAGACAATGCTTACAACCTTGGAACTTCTAGTTCAAGATCCTGTTTCCAAAAGTCCACCAGAAAGGGAATTCTTGAGACCTTAGGGTTCTAATTCAAAACTTCGAATTAAAACATATATTGTTTACGATTAACAGAGTTGACCTTGGAGATCTTTTAAATCCAACCTGCAGCTCAAGCAGGAGACTCTATTCCATTTTGGTTGTCCAATCTCTTCTTAAAACCTCCCGTGATGGAGAATCCACAACCGCTGCCATTCCATTGATTAATTGTTCTAACTACCAGGAAATTTCTCTTTGTTTCTAGGTTGGTTCTCTCCATGATTTATTTCCATCCCTGGTTTCTTGTTCTGTCTTCAGGTGCTTTGGAGAATAGGTTGACCAAAGCACCTGAGGACAAAACAAGAAGCAACGGATGGAAACTATTACAATTACAAAGCAAAGCTGTCCACAAAGATGGACTTATCCTCCAGGAAGTATAAGTCATCTTGGACCCTACATAAAGTTCCATATCTGCACAGAGATAGAGATTAGAAATAGAGATTAGAGACAGAGATCCGAGATATAGAGATAAAGATGGAGATGGAGATTAGAAATTAGAGATTAGAGTTTAGAGAATGGAGATGGAGAGTGGAGAGTAGAGATTAGAAATTAGAAATTAGAGAATGGAGATGGAGATAGATTGGAGATTGGAGATTAGAAATTAGAGATTAGAGGATGGAGATGGAGAGGGAGGGAGGGAGGGAGGGAGGGAGGGAGGGGGAGAGAGAGAGAGAGAGAGAGAGAGAGATCAATGTTGCACAATGCAGTAACACAGCTGATTTTTAAAAATAAAGCCAGGAGCCAAATTTACATATTTTTGGGTTTGTTTTTACAATCAACAGCTCCTTTCCTGCTTGTAATTTGGAAACAGTGGAGATGGGAGAACGTGAGAGACGGAATCCTAGCAAACACCACTATCCTAAATTGCCATGCGTACAAGTTCCTTCAAGTGAATGGGACTCGTTCTGGATGAAGGTATCGGAGTTGGTTACCTTTCAATTTATGGCAGTGGTAGAATTCAATTTTTTTTTCTACCGGTTCTGTGGGCGTGGCTTGATGGGCGTGATATGGCTTGGTGGGCGTGGCAGGGGAAGGCTACTGCAAAATCCCCATTCCCTCCCCACTCTTGTGGGAAGGCTACTGCAAAATCCCCATTCCCTCCCCACTCCTGGGGGAAGGCTACTGCAAAATCCCCATTCCCTCCCCACTCCTGGGGGAAGGATACTGCAAAATCTCCATTCCCACCCCACTCTGGGGCCAGCCAGAGGTGGCATTTACCGGTTCTCCAAACTACTCAAAATTTCTGCTACCGGTTCTCCAGAACCTGTCAGAACCTGATGAATAGCACCCCTGATTTACGGGAACCTGAAGTCATGTCCGGCACTCTTATGGCCCTTAGGAAGTCAATTTCTCAGTGCTCGGAAGAGGTGGGGCAATGTGCTTTGATTCACAAGATTCCTTTAACCGTTGAAACAAGCACATTCCTGAAGGAAGCTCCAACCTAATTTATTTTTTTATTTTTATTTTACTTCAGATTTATATACTGCCCTTCTCCCTAGGGACTCAGGGCGGTGTACAGCCAAGTAAAAACACATAAATACATAATACATAGATTAAGAACAGATTAAAAGGAAATATCTCAGTTTGGCCCACAATTTAAAAAGACAAACAAATTTAAAATCATTTAAAATCATTTAAAAGGATTTGTTAGGCCAGCCCGGCTTGTTGAAAAAGGAAAGTTTTAAGGGAACAGCGGAAGGCACGAAGGTCTTGGATTCTCCAAGACCTTGAGGAATTGGCGGACAATTCCTTAAACCACTTGTTTTCACAATTTGCTCAGGGCGTAGATATGTTAGGGTGTTGTGGGAATATTGGATAGGAGTCAGGCCTGGAGCAAAACAAACTCCATGCAGTCAGTCAGGTTGGGGGATTAGCTGAAAAGAAATGTGTGCTTAGAAACAGAAATAATAGAAATAAGTAGAAATAGAAATGAAGGCAAATAGAAAAAGAAATAATAGAAGATAGATAGATGATAGATAGATAGATAGATAGATAGATGATAGATAGATAGATAGATAGATAGATAGATAGATAGATAGATAGATAGATAGATAATTTTATTTCTATACCGCCCCTCTCCTGAAGGACTCGGGACGGTGCACAGCCAAGTAAAAAACACAATACAAATCCCAATTAAATTTAAAAATTATTAAAATTATTACATTTACGGCCAAGTTTTGTTAAAAACCCAAAAATTTAAAACTCCGAATTTAAAACTACTTTACAAAGATAGCCCTGCCTGTCGGAAGAGCAGGGTCTTGAGGGCACAGCGAAAAACTCGGAGGTCAGAAATAGAAAGAACAGAAATAGAAATAAATAGAAATAATAGGAATAGGGATAGAAATAGAAATGAAATGGGAGGGAGGGAGGAAAAGGAAAGGAAAGGAAAGGAAAGGAAGGAAGGAAGGAAGGAAGGAAGGGAAGGGAAGGGAAGGGAAGGGAAGGGAAAGAAAGAAAGAAAGAAAGAAAGAAAGAAAGAAAGAAAGAAAGAAAGAAAGAAAGAAAAAGATGGGAAGGGAAGGAAGGAAGGAAAAGAAAGGAAGGAAGGAAGGAAAGACAAAGAAAGACAAAGAAAAAAGAAAGAAAGAAAGAAAGAAAGAAAGAAAGAAAGAAAGAAAGAAAGAAAGAAAGAAGATGGGAAGGGAAGGGAAGGGAGGAAAGAAAAGAAAGAAAGGAAGGAAGGCAGGTAGGAAAGACAAAGAAAGACAAAGAAAGAAAGAAAGAAAGAAAGAAAGAAAGAAAGAAAGAAAGAAAAAGAGAAAAAAGACAGAGCATACTGATCATATGTGACATTTATTAGCTGCTGCTTTCGCTTAAAAAGCATGGGGTGTGGTTTGATTTTTATTCTCTCAACAGGCATTGGTCACTTTAAAGGAGAATATTTGTAGCTCAGGGTTGACATGAGGGCTCCTTGGTGCTCTCTCAGCTTGAGGTTGCTTTCTTGCAGAAGTTTCCTCACCCAAACTAGGTAACATCACCACTAGCACTGATGACGTTCCCTAGCTGGGTCATGAAACGTCTGCCAGAAAACAACCTCAAGCTCAGAGAGCAGCGAGGACCCCATAAGTCACTTTTTTCAATGCCGCTGCACCAAATACATTTGGCTGAATTTGGCTATAAGTTTGTGGCATGGCCTGTATTGCGCGGAGGAGGTTGATCAATTCCGGATTGTCCCGTCTGCCATTCCTAACTAGATCAGTCCTTGCCTTGGCAGGGTTTGAACCCAGGACAAAAACGCTATTTTTATAGCATCCTGAGCATCTACGACAGCCGGGGGCACCGAGAAGCCTTGTGCCGCCGATACACGATCAGCCTTCAGCGCCAAAATGCGCTGGGTGAGTATCAGCTGAGGCCGACTCCGGCATTGGCGATTCAGAGAAATTTGGAGAGCCACGGGGATTACAAAATCTGGGGATTACGAGGCCGGTTTTATGGGCCATGAAAGCGCATCTCTCTCACAGCCGGAGCACACGCTGGTTCAACAGGCAAGGTTCACGCAGCCTTTGGCCAGAAAGCTTTGTTCCACACAGCAGGGCCAGGATAAACATTCATGCGCGATGCGCCTTTGTGCTCTCTGATGCTATTTATGCCACGTCAGTTTATCTTTACTGTCTATCCACCACCATGCTCCAAACACGCCCCCGGACAGCTGAAAAATAAATGCTTTGGAGTGAATCTTTCGCTATCCAAAAAAAGAGAGAAAAATCCGACTTCGGTAAAATGCACGAAGTATATCTTCAGGTACACAGGCTGTCCTCGATTTAGGACCATAACGGAGAACAAAATTTCCAGCCGATTCTGTACAAGGCATGAAGCATTTCTCCACATATACAGGTAGTCCTCGCCTTTCAAGCACAACTGAGCCTCAAACTGTCTGAGACCGTTGTTAAGTGGGTTTTGCCCCACTTGATGGACTTTCTGGCCAAAGACGTTAAGCAAATCGCTTGATAAATTAGTTGTGAATCTGGCTTCCCTATTGGCTTTGGGTCAGGGGTGGGTTCTACTTACCTTTACTACCAGTTTGCAACAGGGCCACGCTCTTGCGCTTGCTTCACTCGCGCACGTGCGCTTCTGTGCAGAAACTTCCTGATGACATCGGGGTTGGTGGGCGGAGCCTCTCGCCGGTTTTACTACTGGTTCTATAGAACCAGTCCAAACCAGGCGTAACCCACCACTGCTTTGGGTGTGAGAAGGTTGCAAAGGGGACCCCCTGGGACACTGCAACTGTCATAAGTATGAGTCAATTGCCAAGCATCCGAAAGGAAGATCTCTCTCTTTATTTAAAGCAAGAAAAGTGTGCGATTTAATCTCTAAAGAAAAAGATTTCCAAAATATTTAAGTTCATTCCTAAATCTTAAATAAATATGATCCTTGATAGGAGAGACCAGACGTAGTGGTGGGATTCAAATAATTTAACAACCGGTTCTCTGCCCTAATGACCGGCTGGGTGGGCGTGGCCATGGTGGGCGTGGCCAGGGGGTGTGACAGGCAGCACTTGGCCTCCTGCACCCCCCTGGGAGCAAAAACGGGCTACCGGGGGGGACAGGTGCCCCCCCCGTACCCCGTTTTTGGCCTAGTAGGCCGCCCTGCAGCCTTCTGGAAGTAAAAATGGGCTCCATTTTGGGCCTAGGAGATCTCCCTGCACTTATCTGGGAGCCAAAATGGGGTGGGTGGGGACTCCTGGAAGTGGCGGGGCAGGAAGGGGCAGGGCCAGCCAGCAATTTAACTAACGATTCACCCGAACCGGCCCAAACTGGCTGAATCCCACCATTGACCAGAAGCAAAAGGCAGTTGGTTCAGCAGATTTTCTCTTCAAAGTTATATTAAAAAATGTTTTTGGTATAGAGGTAATCCTATACTTACGACCACAATCGAACCCAAAATTTCTGTTGCTAAGTGAAACATTTGTTAAGTGAGTTTTGTCCTTTTTTTTGACTTTCCTTGCCACAGTTGTTAAGTGAACTACTGCAGTTCTTAAAATAGTAACAGGGGCATTAAGTGAATTTGGCTTCCCCACGGACTTTGCTTGTCAGTAGGTCACAAAAGGGGATCATGTGATCCCGGGACACTGCAACCGTCATAAGTATGAGTCAGTTGCCAAGCATCCGAATTTTGTTCACATGACCATGGGGATACGGCAACTGTCATAAGTGTGAAAAATGGTCACAAATCTCACTTTTTTCAGTGGCGTTGTAACTTTGAATGCTCACTAAGTGAACAGCCATAAGTCAAGGACTGCCTGTATTGAAAGCAAGATAAACGTGCAATTTAATGTCTAAAGAGAAACCCTTCCAAAATATTTTAAGTTCATTCCTACGTAAATCTGAAATAAATGCCATTCTTGATAGGACAAGGCAGAAATAAAAAGCAATTGATTCAGTAGAGCTTCTCTTCAAAGTTATATTAGAAAAAATATATTGGAATTGATGTTCTGGGAGGATTTTGACTTAGAATCAGAATCCACAGATGGATAATTCCTGTCTTTGGGGTGAGCCAAATATCTGAACCTGCAAGCAAAATGGGCCAGAATTTAAATGAGAACCTGCTTTCCTGCCTGAGAATTTATCTCTTTATATACTGGAATTTGTTAAAATTTCTCTCTCTTTGTTTTTCTTCCAGTCGCACCGATTTTCACCATTTTGGCTTGCTGTCTTTTTCAAAATGTAATTTTTTTTTTTAATGCTGAACTCACACCCCTAAAATCATTCCCAGCCCCAGTTTGGCTCAGTGTTGTTCCTGACACACAGGTGGCCTTTTTTCAGACAAGAGTCTGAGCTGTACTAAAATGTTGTGACTGTGAAGCGGCAACACTGCATGGCTTATGGCAAAAGTGTCCATGGAGAGTCTCAGCCATCCAGATCATGGCTGGGCCAAAGGTTCTCCTCCCGCCCCCAATCTATTTGCTGCCTCCCGAGTCCCAGCTGATCGGCTAGAAGGAAAAAAACTATTTAAACTCTTGCCGCGGGGCTTCAAAGGGCCGCCCTACAGCTGATCAGTGTTAAAAGGCAGTGTGGTGGTAGTTAGTTAGTTAATTAGTTAGTTAGTTAGTTTATTATATTTATATACCGCCCCCTCTCCCGAGGGATTCGGGGCGGTGAACAGCCAGCAAATAAAATACACAGATACAAAATTTAAAATAATATTAAAATCCAATTAAATCAATTTGGCCCATAGTTAAAAACCCTATATTAAAACCCCTAATTTTTTAAAAACAATTCTTTTTTAAAAAAAGTAGGTCAGGCCAGCCTGGCTTGATGAAACAAAAACGTCTTTAGGGCAGTTCGGAAAGCACGAAGGTCAGGGATCCGCCGTATCTCTGGGGGCAACTCGTTCCAGAGGGTAGGTGCCCCCACAGAGAATGCTCTTCCCCTGGGGGCCGCCAGCCAGCATTGTCTGGCCGACAGCACCCTGAGGAGGCCCTCTCTGTGGGAGCATACTGGTCGGTGGGAGGCTACCGGTGGCAGAAGACGGTCTTGTAAGTACCCGGGTCCTAAGCCATGGAGCGCTCTAAAGGTGGTAACCAATACCTTGAAGCGCACCCAGAAGACCACCGGGAGCCAGTGCAGCTCACGCAGGAGAGGCGTTACATGGGAGCACCATGTCGCTCCCAGAGTAGCCCCCATAACTACCTGCGCAGCCGCATTCTGGACCAGTTGGAGCCTCCGGGTGCTCCTCAAGGGGAGCCCCATGTAGAGAGCATTACAGTAGTCCAGGCGGGACGTGACGAGGGCATGAGTGACAGTGCACAAGGCATCCTGATCCAGAAAGGGCCGCAACTGGTGAATCAGGTGAACCTGATAGAAGGCCCCCCTGGCCACAGCCGTCATATGTTCTTCTAAGGACAGCCGTGGATCCAGGAGGACGCCCAAGTTGCGAGCCCTCTCTGTGGGGGCCAGCGACTCACCCCCAAAAGTCAGTGCTGGTACCAACTGACTATATCAGGATGCCAGAAGCCACAGCCACTCGGTCTTGGACGGGTTGAGCCTGAGACTGTTTCTCCCCATCCAGATCCATACGGCTTCCAGGCACCGGGACATCACATCAAGGGCATCGTTGGGGTGGTCCGGGGTGGAGATGTACAGCTGAGTATCATCAGCGTACAGATGACACTTCACCCCGAAACCACGGATGATCTCACCCAGCGGCTTCACATAAATGTTGAACAGGAGGGGCAAGAGAACCGACTCTTGCGGCACCCCACACACAAGGCGTCTCGAGGTCGATCTCTGTCCCCCTGTCAACATGAACTGTGACCGGTCAGAAAGGAAGGAGGAGAACCACCGTAAAACGGTGCCCCCTATCCCCAACCCCTCCAATTGGTGCAGCATGATACCATGGTCAATGGTATCAAAAGCCGCCGAGAGATCTAATAGGACCAGGACAGAGGAACAACCCCTGTCCCGAGCCCTCCAGAGATCATCCACCAACGCGACCAATGCCGTTTCTGTGCTGTGCCCAGGCCTGAAACCCGACTGGAACGGATCTAGATAAACCGTTTTCTCCAGGTACCTGGGAAACTGTCGCGCCACCACACTCTCCACAACCTTCACCACAAAGTGAAGGTTGGAGACAGGACGGTAATTAGCTAATACAGCCAGGTCCAGGGAAGGCTTCTTAAGGAGGGGCCTCACCACTGCCTCCTTCAAAGAAGCATTGATAATCCCCTGGAGCCAGCCTCGTGTAACCTCCCGGGAGGCCAGTACCAACCAGGAGGGACACGGGTCCAGTAAACATGTGGCCCCACTAAGTCTACCCAGAATCCTGTCCATGTCCTCAGGAGCCATAGGGTCAAACTCCTCCCAAATGACATTCTCAAGGCCCGCCTCTGTCACCCCATCTGAAACTACCCAGTCAGAGTCCAATCCTTCCCAAATCTGAGCGATTTTGTCATACAGATATTGAACAAAGTCCTCAGCTCTCCCCTGCAAGGGGTCTTCCCTTGCTTCCTGATGGAGAAGGGAGCGGGTCACCCTAAACAGGGTGGCTGGGCGATTATCTGATGACGCGATAAGAGCGGAAAAATACTCCGATTTTGCCGCTTTTATCGCCACTGGATAGGTCTTAATCTAAGACCTCACCAGTGTTCGTGAGGTTTTATATTAAGACTGGTAGACCAGGACGCTCCAAGAACAAATGGGTAGACCGGTACAGCTCTGCAAGCAGTTAAAAGCCTGGTAGACCAGTACCTCTGCTAAATCCTAAAGAATTGTCACATGACCATCACACCCACAAAATAAGCCACGCCCACAGAACCGGTAGTAAAAATTTTAGGACCCACCCCTGCACCTCTGGCACGCGTGCCGTAGGTTCGCCATCACGGCTTTAGGCTAATGTAGTTGGAAAAAATACCCTGGAGGGAAGGGAATAGCAAACAGCATATATTGTGGCCTTGCAAACTACAAGGATATGCTTAGAAAAGTCACCAGGCCTCAAGCCCTACATGGCTCAGGGCCAGGCTATCTTCGAGACCGCCTTCTGCCGCATAGCTCCCAGCGACCGGTAAGATCCCACAGAGTCGGTCTCCTCCGGGTCCCGTCAGCTAAACAATGCCGGCTGGCGGGCCCGCGGGGGAGGGCCTTCTCTGTGGCTGCCCCGGCTCTCTGGAACCAGTTACCTCCTGAGGTCCAGACCGCCCCCACCCTATTGGCCTTCCGGAAAGCGGTGAAGACTGGCTCTTCCGGCAGGCCTGGGGCGTTGATCTCGCTCTTGTGATCTGGCGAGATCCGGCCATGAATTGGAGTGCATGTGTTTTAGCGTTTTTAAAGTTTTTAATGTTTTAATGTTTTTCTTTTTAACATTTTTTATGGGATTGTTCGCATTGTTTTATTCTTTGTTGTAAGCCGCCCAGAGTTCCTTGGGAGTT